GGAAGGAAGCACAAAAAACAGGCACTTAGGTAGGAAATTCTGNTATGGTTCTTATTAATAATTATTAAACCAGTGTTTGTTATTTAATTTTGTTTCTCATTGGGTTCTATTCGGTTTTTATAAAAGAATAGGTTCACCGACAACGGCAAACACTGGTGATGCCGATATTGTCATAACTTTTTTAGGGGCAAATTTTTTTTCGCAAAAATTGGTACAAATGCATTTGAGGGGTTCCTAAATCCAGTGGTGTAGTCAGATTGGCTTTTTATAAAAAAATCGCTAACAAAATTTTGCTATTTTTCACTTAAAAAAAATTCGTAGTAGCCCTTGAAAATCAAAATTTTGTCTTCAAATTTTGCATCAAGTTAGAGCTTTTGGAGATCTATCTTTTAAAAAGAACCCGGTTCAAATCGGTCCATAAATAACTTTTGTACGCGAGTGTTTCCATTCTTAATGGGTCACCCTGTATGTCGGAAAATAAAAAGTTTCCGTCATAAAACGATATTTATCTTGAAAACGGTTCGTGTTAGAGCATTTGATGATGACTACTTTTTTGTGTGGAAAACATTTATCGATTAAAATATGCTTTCAAACTGTCAATTTGCCCAGTCGTAAAAATTAGAGGAAAAGAACCTCACGCAATTCTAAAATCTCTGTACAGTCATATGAACAAAAATTGGATTAGTGCTCAAAAGTAACTAATATTAATGATAATACATGTATAAAATTTGAGTTCTTTATCTCAAACTGTTGCTGAGGTCATCAAAATTTGAAAAAAATATTTTTTTCTGTCACCCTAATCTCGAAAACGGTGCGTTTGCGGATCCATATATTAATATGGATCCTATTAAAGTAGGAATTATAAATCTAATAACGTGTCATATGCGGGGTATCTCGAAATTATCCACCAATATTTTACCATAGTGTTCTGCACCTTATATACAGTGTGTCCAAAATAAGGATGGGATAGCATTGGGATCTAGGAAACGGTAAGAGATACGGAGTGGCTCAAATAAGAAAAAAGTTGTGTTTTTTTATACCTAAAAATATTTAAAATTTTGCAAAATCGTTTTATTTTTTTTCTGGCTTTATTTGAAAACGAATTTTAAAATAAATTGCATATTTACAGTGCCACTTTTTTCGCTTTATCCAATGGCGTCAACATTTTTGCAATGCGACGTTTCGTCTTCGAGATGACATCATCAGGTTCATTTTTTTAAATACGTCACTGCTATTTTTATGACAAAATCTAAAGTATTTTTTAATTCTGAATTAGATGATTTTACTATTGTAATCGCGTAAAAGTTTTTAGCTTGTTTTAGCTATCATTTAAAGTTTTACCTACATACATCCTCTGAAAATCCTCAGTAAATTCCCAGTTGTATACTGTACATCCACTGAATCCCAGTACATCCTAGAAGTTCTCAAGAAATTCCCATCTATTTCTAAGAAATCTTAATATATTCTCATGTATACCACAAATCCCCATGTGTTCCGATCTCGTTAAAATATAATTGTTCTCATATACAAATTTATACCTAGTTAATTTAAATAAAATGATAAATCACAATATTTATTTTCTTATTTTTAAAATATGATGAGCAAAATGCATTTTGCCATACTTATTCAAATCTAATTTGTGATCATCGCTCTGTTCACGTCTATTCATAGATTTTCACAATCCTTAACACCTTATTGTTCTAACAATTTCATGTAACCTGCAATATAATAGGTATTGCAAGTATATCAAATGTTAGTTAGTGTACATTTATGGACAGAAAACTAGGTGCAACACAACTGTTTAAGTAAACGACAAAATTGTTTAAATTTTAAACGTGGAACATGTTTGCTTCCAAATATAACAAATAAGTTGGAATAATGTATGAGGATTGTTATAAAAATAATTATTGCTCAAAATTTGACACGTTTTACAACACGCTACATGCAGGTGAGATCACCGCAATTTCTATGGTAGTCAAAAAAATATTTGCCTTATTATGCAAAATTATGTTAAAATTTTGATAGTTTGACAAACAACTCACGTTTACGATGCAGAAAATTTATGATTTACCATAAAAAATAACACAAATACGTAGTAATAGCGTTGAAGCGTAAACTCTTTGATGTTTCCAAGATTTTGCCTTTGTGGATTTTTACTTTTGAGTGATTTTGGAAAGCTTGTCTTAAAGAACATTTTTTCTTAACGAATAACAGTAAAGTTAATATGGATATATTTCCAGAGGTGAGATGATGTGGATCCACAACAACAATGTTCAGCCCTGACCTTCGACCTGCCAGCACACCTGTAAAAACGTAGACCTTTTTGCGTGTTTATTTTGGATTTTTTTTATGTCNATTTGAATTGTATGTAAATAAAAGTTAGGTGTATTTACTCTGCTTTTGTTTTATATAATTAAACCATACATCCTCTCTACAAAGTTAGTAGCCAGTGCCTTCCGGTCAATTAAAAAAATGGATACACACAACGTAGGTAGTCCTTATGACGATCACATATTTTTGGCCACAACTACGTTTTCGTTTATTTTTTTGTCGAACCTAGGGTTGTTATACTACAATACTTTAATTTCGAATCGATTTCAATTCATCGTTTGGGAATAAAATTACCACCATTTAGAAATATTGCGCGAAAATTTATTGGTCACGAAAAGTCAAAGATATTTAAAAAATCGAAGTAATAAAAAATCAGTAAAATAAGAACATGAAGAACGCGAAATTATGTTGTTCCTTTTCCGATTGCAAAAATTACTTTGTTTATTAAAATATTTCCGTAAAAACTTATTTTTATAAATTGTAACATTCTTTTATGATAAATATGTATTTTATCAATCAGTTCTTTTTAATCTTATTGTCAAGTAAACGATGATTATTTTCAAAGTATACTGTATACAGACTGGGCGATTATAAATTGCGTTTCATATATTGAGTTATGTGAAAAATAATGTACCTATTAACATTATTTTTCCAACATGAAGTAATGTCTGTTTTTTTAGGGAGTTTTACTTTAAAATTGCCTAAAATGTATCCCCAATATCCCCAACCAGTGGTGGCTGGTGTGAGGGGGGGGTCTGGGGCGCCGCTCCTTCTAGAAATTTTCATAGTAAAATAATTTAATTTAAAATTGAGTTATGAAAATGTTAAACTTGTATAATGTGCAGTCAGTTTAACTCGACTTGCAAAATTCGTTTGCAAAACTGAACGTGGGCTCCTTGTAGCTCACATCTGTAAAGTGTTTACAGCGGTGGTTATGGTTACCGTCTGTCGCGCAGCAGTGAAAGACGGAGTGGGAAGAGCGCATATTTACTATGCAGTTTGGGCTATATTTAGTCAAACCGTAATCAAATAATAGCTATTCACGGCTTTTTTGTCTTAATTTGTTCAGTTGTGGTGTAAATATTGTTACTTACATATTGTTTCTTGTGCGTTTATAAAAAAACTTAAAGTTTAAATTGATTGTAGTACTTGCATTAACTCTATCTATTGCAAAATCAATGGTACGGAAATACCAAACTTTGATGAAAAAGTAATTAAAAAGTTTATTTCGGACAAACGCAGAAGAATGGACTTTGACTACGAAAAATTATGTTGAGTGCATTTTCCCTCTATTTCAATAGTAGGTACCTAAAATAAAACCACCCACTTATATTTGTTTTTTTTTTTTTTTTTCAATACTTTGTACCTCAAATGTTCTGTCCTACCTTGTATGGAAGTCAAGAGCCGCCACTGTGTTCAACCTGACACAGACTCGCAAGATAACGGCAATAATCTATTCCAAATTTGTTTTCTTATCTGGAACAATTTTGAAAATATTTTAAAAAAAATCACTATCAGGGGCCCACCTGTGGAAACATTTAATGCAATGCACAAGCGCTAGTCAAGTACCTACATCCCCTAAAAATCCTCAGTAAATACTCAGTAAATTCCCAAAAGTGTTACTGTAGGTACATCCCACTGAATCCTAGTACATCCCAGAAGTTCTCAAGAAATTCCCATCCATCTCCAAGAAATCTTAATATAATTATTCTCATAAATGTAAATCACAAATCCTCATGTGTTCTTATCTCGGTAAAATATAATAGTTCTCATATACAAATTTATATTTAATTTAAATAAAATGAAAATCACAATATTTATTTTCTTATTTTTAAAATATGATGAACAAAATGCATTTTGCTGTACTTAATTCAAATCTAATTTATGATCATCGCTCTGTTAACGTCAGTTCATAGATTTTCACAATCCTTAACACCTTATTGTTCTAACAATTTCATGTAACCTGCAATATAATAGGTATTGCAAGTATATCAAATGTTAGTTAGTGTACATTTATGGACAGAAAACTAGGTGCAACACAACTGTTTAAGTAAACGACAAAATTGTTTAAATTTTAAACGTGGAACATGTTTGCTTCCAAATATAACAAATAAGTTGGAATAATGTATGAGGATTGTTATAAAAATAATCATTGCTCAAAATTTGACACGTTTTACAACACGCTACATGCAGGTGAGATCACCGCAATTTCTATGGTAGTCAAAAAAATATTTGCCTTATTATGCAAAATTATGTTAAAATTTTGATAGTTTGACAAACAACTCACGTTTACGATGCAGAAAATTTATGATTTACCATAAAAAATAACACAAATACGTAGTAATAGCGTTGAAGCGTAAACTCTTTGATGTTTCCAAGATTTTGCCTTCGTGGATTTTTACTTTTGAGTGATTTTGGAAAGCTTATCTTAAAGAACATTTTTTCTCAACGAATAACAGTAAAGTTAATATGGATATATTTCCAGAGGTGAGATGATGTGGATCCACAACAACAATATTCAGCCCTGACCTTCGACCTGCCAGCACACCTGTAAAAACGTAGACCTTTTTGCGTGTTTATTTTGGATTTTTTTTATGTCCTTCCCTCTCAGTCTGTTCTTCCGAGAAAACCGCACGAATCGCGAATACGCTTAATGAAGCAACAATTGTAATTAATAAGACGAAGGTCAGGGTATTCGTTGAGAAACGAGTAATAGGAATTTTTAATAGATGGTAGATGGGTCATGCGGAATATGTATAAATTATTGTAAACTCACGGACGCGTGCTGTTTGTGTTCCCATCAAGAAAGGATCAACATGAAGATATTGGTGTTTGTGTTCGTTATCAGTGTTTTCTTCAGCTGCAACTGTGAAGGTAGGAAGATTTTTGTATTCCGATTTTACCAAAGTAGTTACCTATTTTCCAATTAAAAAAATCGCGAATAATGATGTCATCTGATGATCATACGCGCATCATATCTTATACAATTTTGATCGTGTTTCATCTATCTTCCTCCTAAAAATGTTTTCTGAGTCCATCTCATCTTTTGAGTCTATCAAATAAAAAATATGACCAAACCTATGCAAGAAGTCCCTATTGTATTAAATAAATCGTAACATGTTTTATTTCATTATAATATAGTTTACGGTTACAAAAGTTGCGGTTTATATATACAGTTATTATACAGGATGTTTTTTAAGTCCATGCCATCATTTATTCTCAAATTAGAGACTCGAACTGTTGAAGTTTAAAAAATGTCAGATTTCGAATGTAAAATTTATTAAAATTTAAAATATTAATTCATTTGTATTAATTAATTAATTTAATTAATTAATTAATTTAATTAATTAATTAAATTAATTAGTTAATTAATTAATTAAAAAAAAACTATCTGTTTACAAAAAATGAATTGGTTTGAATTAGCTTAATACTTTTAAAATAAAGTAAAAAATTACGAGAGTTAAAAATAAAATATTTGTTTTTTTTTTAAGAAATATTTATTTTTGATGCTACATTGTATTTAAAAGTGTATTCCGAAAAAATAATCTTATACTATTTTTTAATTATTAACAGATAATAATTTGAAAATGGCTCGTTTTTGT